TACATGGCATCACATACTTGGCACTGAGAGATTTGTATTATCTTCCCTCTGTGCATTCCAAGTTTCTAGATGATTTCCCTACTGGAACTTCTCCTTTACTATGGGGCCCTGGCCACTTCAGGAAAAAATGAAAAAAATCAGGACTGCAGAGTTCAACCCTTGAGTTGTCCCACCAAACAGCTCCACAGGAACCCAGAGGGAGCCTGACACAAAGGGGCAGGTGCTCTGGATTGCACCACTGGTTCCATGGCACCCTTGCCAGAGCCCTGCCCTCTTCGCTTGGGCCCTGGGGAAAACACAGGCCCCACTTGTGGTGACTTTTGATAAAGCCAGGACTGAGGACCCTGACCCCCTGCCACAGCAGCCACTTGGGGTTGGCTGGCAGGCTTCTGTGACATCACAGTCACTGAGGATGCACACTCTGGGCTGTGAGGTGACAAGTGACCAATAGTGCGTCTACTGCCCAACTGACCAGGTGTTGGTAGCATAGGCAGGAGGCACATTTGGCAGAATCCAATGGATTCACGATGGAGGTGAGTGGGATTTGCTCTTGGGGAAGGTCCTGCCCAGGTGGGTGACACTGGTCTCCCACGCTGGGTCCCATGGGTGATGTGGCTGTGCCTGTGTGTGAACACCACAGGAGCAGAGCCCTTGGCCCTGGGACTCAGAGCAATTCTCAAGGAAGGGCTGGAGCAGCGGCTGGAGGGGTCTGGTCTGTGTACTGAGGTCACGTGCTGTGGGTGGGAAGGGCCCTAGCACGCAGGCTCACCTTGCGCTCCCTAAGCACCACTGTCAGAGGTGATCTCTGCGGCCATGTAGCCACAGCTCTCAGCCGTGCACGCGGGCCCATGGCTCACTTGAAACGCAGGAGCGGCTCCAGAGCGCCCTGTAAGAAGTGGCGGCTAATTCGCAGACTCAGTGTTTCCCTGCACCTGCCAATCTCCTGTCTCTCAGGACACAAATGAGTCCCGTGCCCTCTCTTGAGGTTGACTGGAGGGACTCAAAGTCCTGCCGGACTCCCAGATGCCCTGAGCAGTGCTGCTGAGCTGGCCTCTGCCTTTACCCCAGCTACCCCTAAAAGAGAACTCAGTGCCTGGGTGTTTAGGTGGCACAGGAAGCCAGAGTGGGCTTTCAGGAGACCTCAGCTGAAATCTGGAATGAGGAGCACCTGATACTCTGGGAAGAGGCTTTCTCAGAAACCCTTCAAGCACATTGGAGGGCACTTTGCTGAAGTTGGAGGGAAGTCCTGGCCCACTCTGTGTGGCAATAGCAAAATACCTGAAGCTGCGTTGCTTAGAAAATGAAAGTTCACTTTAGCTTGTGGCTTGACCAGCCCGAGAGTGTGGCACGGGCACCAGCTTCTGGTGAGGGCCTCATGGCAGACGGCATTACCCAGCAGGAGCCCAAGTGAGATGGGGCTGGAGGAGGACAAGACCTGTCCCTGATAGCAACCCCAGGGCAGGCATAGTGGGGAAGATACCACTGGGACACCTTCATCCCATACTGTACCACCCGGGATCCATCCCCAGCCTCGGCTCCTGAGTCTGACTCGAGAGCAAAACATCACCCCGAGTGGAGAAAAATGCAATCTGGAGACCACTAACCCTAGGGAATCTGGAGAATGAACTCAGGCAGAGAAAGGAAACCCATAGGCATCTTCCATACAATTAAGAATATTTGACTGCTGAAGCTGGGTGATCCCACTCATCATTCATTGTGTTATTTTACAGCACTTTGTGAATCTCCAAAAGAATGTACAATGATATTTAAAAGAGGAGAAGCTGAGTGGGGAGGGGAATAACAGAATCAGTTAAAACCCAAGTCTTGCTGGACAGCATCTCTGCACATGACACAGCTGTGTACTCGTTCCCACCCGCAGAGGAGGCCAGCAGGTGTATTGGTGACCAGGGCCCTGGACACTGTGGTCCCCATGCCAGGGCAAGGGAAGTGGGCAGAGAGGCAGAACAACAGGCCCTTGAGGGAAAAGAACCGACTGTGGCCCCAAGGTGGCAGCCTAGGGGCAGTGTGGGGCCCAGGACCAAGGAGGTGCTGGGGGAGGGCTGAGTCGCTTTCCCTGCAGGGAGCAACCTGGTGATCAGCACCCTGGGGAGCTGCGGGCCTGTGGCTGCTCCTGCCCGACATGTGCTGTCCCTGTCCTTATGGTCAGCAGCAGCCCGGTGTTACCAGCATGCGGCTCAGGAGCTGGTGCCCAGGAGTTCTCAGCACTCTGTGCCTGAAGCCCTGGTCAGTGTCAGGACAGGGCCCTGGTTCCCGCTCTGGACAGTCTGGGCCATGCCAGCTTGAGGTCCTATGCAGGTGGTGCTCAGCGGGCGGCTCCCCTGCCCCATCCCAGGAGGACCCCCTGTGTCCACCTCCTAAAACTCCTGGGAAGAGGGGCTGGAACAGAGCAGGAGGGGTCAGCAGGGGTTGGGAGTGCTGGGGTCAGGCCTGTGGTAGGACAGCAGGCTGCAACCCTGGGAGTCTCCGTTCAGGTCATTCAGGGGCAGCCCCGAGTGTGGGAACCTCAGGAAGAAGGACTGGCCATGATGGGGCACCCTGTTCCACCTTGTGTTCAAATAAAGAGGACTTCACAGTTGGGCTGTAATAAAATGGCAGAGGAAGAAATGAGGGGCAGGAGGCAGGTTGCCTGGGACTTGGGACCGTCACGGCAGGTGGCAGAGGGCCCTGGCACCCCTGGTTCTGGGGCAGTTCTGCCAGAGCCCTGCCCTCTTCACCTGGGCCCTGGGGAGAACACAGGCCCCACTTCTGGTGACCTTTAATTAAGCCAGGGCTGAGAACCCTGACCCCTGCCACAGCAGAGCCACTTGGGATTGGCTGGCAGGATTCTGTGACATCACAGTCACTGAGAATTGTGCACTCTTGGTTGTCGCAACCAGTGGCCAGTCGTGCATCTACTGCCCAACTGACCAGATGTTGGTAGCGTAGGCAGGAAGCACATTTCATAGAATCTAATGGATACTCGAAGGAGGTGAGTGAGACTTGCTCTCTGCGTGACCTGTGACGCAGGGAAGGTCATGCCAGGTGGGTGGCACTGGTCTCCCACGCCAGGTTCCATGAGTGTTGTGGCTGAGCTCTCAGCGGCCCCTGTGTGCAGAGTGTGTATATAGTCGTCTCATTCCTCCCACTCTGCTGGGCATCAGTGTCAATGGGCCTTGGTGTGAGTCTGTGTCTGGACACGGGTTCAAGACTAGGTGTTGGATCAGCTGGTGTCAGGTGGGGCAGTGAGTCCACCTCTGAGAGCCCTAGAGATTCGGGGGCTGGGAGCGGGCCAGGGAGACTTGGGCTCCCTGGAGGACACGTGGATGCCAGGCTGGGGGAGGAGCATCCTTTCCCAGGGCAGGGGAGGCAAGGTGGGGGCTGTCCTTCCCCAACCATCCCTAGTCCCTGTGCTCTGAACAAGTCATCCTCCTGGGACCCGGCCACCAGGTGCCCGCCCACCTGGCTTGTGGCTGTCCCCTCCGACCATGGGGACAGACCTCAGGGCAGCAGTTCCCGTGGGCTCCCCATGCTGGCTCACAAGTGTGTGTGTCTTACAGATTGGATATGGACACCCTGAGGTCCGGCAGGGCCCAGGAGCGAGCAGTGATCATCATGAAATATGAGAAGGTACTGGCCAGGGTGCTAGGACAGGAGGTAGGGCCCTGCCTCAAGTACTGTGCTTGTGAGAGCCAGACCCCACCTCCCTGGGGACACAGCGGGGAGGGTGGCTCAGCTTTCCCCAGTGCCTGAGACCCGGACTTCTCACCTGGGTCCCCTCTCCCCTGCAGGGTCCCCGTAAAGGGGCCCAGTTTCAGCTGGGAGAAGAGGGTGAAGAGAATGGAGTCCTCGTCCCAGACAAACTTGGCTTCCTGTGGTGAGTCCTCTGCACCCCGATCCACCCAGGGGAGGGACCAGGGTCAGAAACCCCATTAGGTAGCACACCTATCCCCAGGCCCCCTCCTTGATCCAAGCTGTTGTCACAGTGCAGGCACAGGTCAGTATACGGGCAGAGCCGAGTGACCCTGTGACTCAAGAATGCAGGATGGGAAAGGGCTGGCTGTAGGGTAGACACTGGCACTCTTACTCTGAGGCCTCTGTTCATGCTAAGTAGAGGTGGTGGCTTGAGGGACATAGCCTGGCCATCGTCACCCCATAGCTGTGTCCACAGGGTTGGGGCACCAGCCTAGCAGGTGGCAGTTGTCCAACAGGGGCCTGAGCCTCAGGGCTAGGCTAAAGGCTTATTAAGACCTAGTCTGAGAGATGGCCAGCAGTGTGGCCTCTGCAGCTCTCAGCCTGCCTGCAGGCTCCCACAGTACAGACCACAGGGAAGGTGCAGCTGAGGGCCCGCCCGGGTCTGTGCTGGGAGGAGTGGGGCCTGCGGGCAGGAGTCAGATTGGAGGCTGTTCCAACAGATGTCAGGGAGAGCAGCCCCATGTCTGGAGGGTAGGCTCCGGTGATCTAGAGGGATGAGCCATCTCGGGCCGTCTTTGGCATGACTCAGCAGCCCACCTTAGCACGGGATAGGGGGTTCTGGCTCCATGTTGTGCCCAGAACCTGGAGAAAAAGCAGGAGCCAAGGGTAGAGAGATGGCCACGGTCTGGGCTAACAGAGGAGGGTGAGGTGGGGAGCAGACACCTCAGGTGGCCAGTGCATAGTGGGGAGGCTGGGTGGGGGATAACCTTGGGGGTGTGGTGGTCCCAGGTGCCTCGAGCCCCAGCCCCTGCTGGGTGTCTGCCTGCAGCATGGCTGCCCCCTCCCTGCCCTTCTCTGTGCTCTGGGCTGTGCCTCAGCAGGGTGAGAGGACACAGGTCTTCTCCCAGCCTTGCTGGGGAAGTGGACCATGCTTGGTTCAGTGCCCATTCTCATGGTGTTGTCTCTCTTGCTTTTCAGTAAGCAGAAGCCGCCCAGGCATGGATGCCTGGCAGTGCAATGGGTAAGCTGACCTTGGCCATGGACTCTTCATCTAGGAGGCAGAACTAGCAGGCCTGTGGGTATGGCAGTGGTTAGAGGAGTGCCATATGGTCCTCCAGGGACAGCAGTCCCCAGGGGATCTGTTGAGGCCCACATACCCCAGTGCAGGCCTGCAGCTCTGGGTCCCTGCCTGTGGGCCACTGTGACCCACTTTCCTGGATGAGATGGGACTAGCTTGAGGATGCTTGTCCTTTTATTTATACTCAAGACCCTGAGGCTCCCCTAGTTGGAAGGTCTGGGTGCTGTGGTCTGCCCCTTTGCTGGCTCCTCCCAGCTGAGTTGTCCACAGGCTCCTGAGCTGCACCCGTGGCCTCCCTCAGAGGACACTGCTGAGCTCACGCCATCCTGTCTCCATTCCCAGCGTAAACATCAGAGGGCCGCCGACTGCAAAAATGGAACAAGATGCTGCGAAATTTCACCAAGTACCGCAGCAGTGAGAAGGTGCCTGGACCTGAGGGCCCCTGGGGACCACTGGGGTGGAGTTGGGATGGACAGTGCCCATCGCTGTGCCTCTCAGACACAACTGTCCTGCCCTGAAAGGACACAGGTCATCTCAGCCCATGCCCGTGCACCCAGGACACTGTCGCAGTAGAAGATCCAGTCTCCCCTGGGGCCACTCCCAGATGCAGGGCAGGCACAGTTCCTGGTGCCCTGGGGGCAGTGAGTGCACCACAGAGCCTGCACTGAGCCCTCGGCCCTCCTCTCACTGTTGGGTCAGGAGGCCCAGGTCCAGGCAGATCTGGGACACAGCACAGAGCCCAGGGCTCCCCTTCCTGCTGTCTCACCCTACGCTCCCCCCAACAGAGGCCTGGGGCGGGTCTCACCAGAGCCTCCTCTCTCCTGTAGTTCCACCGGAGAATTGAGAAAGGCATCCCCGCCCAGGTGCGCGGCAAGGTGTGGGCCATGATGCTCTCCGTGGATACCCTGAAGGCCCAGAACCCTGGCAAATTTGAGGTATGGCTCTGTGCAATCTGAGGCAGGCCGACCCGCTCGGGCCTGCTCAGGAGCGCAAGGCTCCCGTGTGGTGGACAAGTAATGCCAAGGAGGAGTGGTCATTTGGTTGGGGCCCCCACCCGGCCCTCCCCTCTGCCTCATCCAGGTCTCCCCAGAGGCCTCCTCCATGTCTCCCCACACACATGGGCCTGGACACAAGGATCCGGTCAGGGCCACAGCCTCATCCCTGTGGTCCTGCCTTGCCTCTAGGCCCAGGACTGCCCAGTGCCATTGTGCTGGGTCCTGAATGGATAGAGAATGCCTGGAATGAGGTGGAAGTCCTGTGTGCTAGGGCCCTCAGCTGGCTCTGTCCCTAACGGCCCTCCCCACACCTGACCCTGCTTGTGTTTCTTATGCTCGCCGGGCCCTGCCCTCACCTGGGCCTTCTCATGCCTGGCCTGGCCTCAGCTCACCCAGCCCCCACCTGGCCTGCTGGTTCCATCGTCAGAGTCAGCTCTCAACTGCTTCTGGGAATGAGGGCTGATCCATCAGAGGGCTGGCCCTGGTTGACTGTCACCTCCCTGGCTGACATCAGGGAGCAAGGAGCAACTGAGCCGCCAGCCCCGCCCTCCCCAAGTCTTCAAGTGGGGGCTGTCCCTGGGCCAGCTCCAAGTCCAAGAAGGGTGTCCACTCTCTTGATGGAGCTGGGGCTCTCCTGCAGGGGGCAGCCCTGAAGGCTGGTCAGGGTGAGGCTGACTCCTGTCCTGTGGGGCCTGAGAGCCCAGTGAGGAGGTTCAGAGGCCTGATTCAGTCTCTCCTGCTCTGGGAAGGCAGAGGTCACAGAAGGACATTGGCAGAGCCCTGGCCTCAGGCTGACTGTAGCGGGTCCGCAGTGGCCCCTCTGCTGGGCACTGGGGGTGGCGTGGACACTAAGGTGAGTGGGGAACCCATGACCCTCCCTGGATCAGGGGAATGAGCTTCCCTCAAGGGGAACTCTCCCTGCCAACCAGAAGAGCTGATGTGGCTTTGGGGTGCTTGTGTGGCAGTGGGGGTTGGCTCGTCCTGAGGCCGGCCCCTCCCCCTCGGCCCTGCCCTGCAGGAGATGAAGGAACGGGCCAGGTTGTGCTCAGATCAAGTCCAACAGATCGATGAAGAGGTAGCACGCACGTTCAGAAGTCACATCATGTTTCGAGAGCGATACGGAGCTAAGTGAGGCCTCTGGGCTGGAGGGGCCCTGGGCGAGGGAGTGCAAGGGTCCTGGGACACATGGGGTCCTAGGAGAGACGTGGGCTCACACCTAAAGCATAATTGCTCTAGGACAGAAAAAAATGGATCCATGGCCTTCTATTTATACTGAACAGTTTGCTTTCCCAAAGACACTTTGGTGAGAATGAAATGAAAAGGAACACAAGGGGAACAGTATTTACAAAATACAAAAATGAAGTTATACATAATAAGAAAGCAAATGAGGGTTCCCTGCCCTGACATGGGCCAAGGCTCAGGAGGGCCCCTTCATGACTGCACACACAACTCTCCTACTCAACGCGTGAAAACACTTAGCACCTAAACCACAACGGGGCACCAGCGCACAGCTGTGAGAATGGGGGAACTAAGACCACTGAACGCCGGGTACCGGGGAGAACGTGAGGCGAGCGCCACTCTGGTTCGTTGCAGGAACAGAGCACAGTGGCCCAGACCCCCAGCATCACCCAGGGCCATTTCTCACAATGAGAGACACACACCTTCCACACGAACCCCCAGCACACACGCACATTTACACACCACCAGAACAGCTGAGTGCATAAAACCCTCATGCAAGATTCAGGGTTGTGTTTGCAGTCACTGGACGCGGAGTAGCCTGCACGATGCTCAGTGGGGACACGGATAAGGAACCCGTGTCACAGCTGAATCCGAGAACGGGATTCAGTGAGAGGCAGGACGAGACTCGGCCCTGGGCTCACCTGGATGCATCTCAGGTGCATCCTGCTAAGAGAGGACGCATCCCTCAAAGGCTACACGTGCTGTGATCCACTCACAGGACATCTGCAAGAGGCCAAACCCTGGGACACACAACAGGGCAGTGGTGGCCACGGGCTGGGGGAGGTGGGGAGTTTGGCCACTGAGGCTCATGGGGAACACATAGGCCACAGGAGCTGCTCCCTACCAGGCTGAACGTGCATGGGAGGCTGACTCTCCATGGCTTAGACCCACGGGACTGCACCTCCCAGTGGGACGCTCACCTGTGCAATGAACACCCACCTGGGGAAACGAAACTGCACATGACTGCACCCCGGAGGTGTGCGTGTCCCTGCAGGCAGCTCACCCACATGGTGGACCACACGCAGGTGCCCTGATGACGTCACTGCTCATGAGCAGAGTGTCACGGGCGCTGCGTGTGGCTGTCAGGCTCTGTTAGGCAGAGCCACACTGAGAGCCTCGGCAGCACAGGACGCACAGCCTCTGTCCTCTCTCTTCCAGACAACGCTCCTTATTTGAGGTGCTCCTCGCATACTCATGTACAACCCCGTGAGTATTCTGCGATAACGTTCCAAGGTCATATCCAGAGCTGTCCATGCAGGGCGCCCCTGGTCACAGAAATCCTAGCCTGGGTTGAGGGGGCCTCTAATCCACAAGGCAGAGACTGAGGGGTAGAGTTCAAGCTCATGGCCTCCTTGGCCCCAACCTCAAGTTCTGGGGCAGAACGGAAGCCTTCTCCTGGGCTGGGCTCTGTTCTGGCCCAGGCAGGCCTTACTATGGTGCTTCTTCCTCACGTCTGCAGTGGGGCCCAGCAGGGCACCTGTACAGCAGAGAGCTCCAGAGGCCATCACGGGTGTGCAGTCTGCACTCCCACAACAGTCTTCCCCTTCCTGACATCTGGGGTGGGGCTCATACCTCTTCTTAACCCTGCACAGCCTGCGCTCAGACCCTGCAGCATTCTCTCCAGGAACTTTGAGAGCTGGTGTGCTCCAGTCCTGAGATCCTGACACCCAAGGGGCAGCAGTGGGGCCTGGTAGTAATGCTCAGCTCTCCCAGGAGAGGTCACCCTTGCCACTGAGATCATCCCAGCCAGGGAGGTCCCTCTGATGTGTTTGTGTTCTTCCAGGAATTGGGCTACAGCCAGGGCCTAAGCCACGTGGCAGCCCTGCTGCTGATGTGGCTGAGTGAAGAGGATGCTTTCTGGGCCCTAGTCCAGCTCATGGGGGACAGCCAGCACGCGATGCATGGTGGGTGATGGGTGTGGTGGGCGTGGTCCTGCAAGTGCAGGGATGGGCATGCAGACAAGTGACTGGGACATTGTCCCTCACTGGCTGCTGCGTGCATAGGGCGGTCTCCCTCAGAATGCTTTCTTAGAAGCCAGGGCCGGCAGAGGGCCCAATACCAAGCCATACCCCTCACTTCCCATCACACAAAGGTCCTGTGCCTTGTCTTTGACAAATGACCCTTAGGTCTCTACTGGCCTTACTGCTTCACGTCTCTACTCAGACTCCCACCCAGTGAGCCACACACGCAGAAGAAGCATCCATTCTAGGGTGACCCCTCCTCACCCTGAGTGTCCAGATGGCCCTGAGGCATCCAGTGTGAGTGCAGTCAGCCCAGAGGTCACCTTAGGCAGCCTGCCCTGGGCTGTCAGCTGTACCCCCTTCCCCTGAGGCTCCCCTGCCTGTTAGAGCTTTCCCTGACCCTCCATGTTCAGAAAGAACCTGCCCCAAGCCTTTGGCTTTCCGGCCTTCCCAGGAAGACACTCTGAAGTGAGGACTGGGGGGTTGCTATTACTCAGATTTCTACACACCAGACTCCCCAAAACTGGAGCAATTCCAGCACCAACTGGGAGCTATCATGCGTCGCGTGCTCCCCTCCCTGGAGAAACACCTGGTAAGTAAACATCCCCTTTCTCCCCTCGGGGCCTCTGTGCTCAGGGAGGGGAGGACAGAGAGGGGTCCTGATTGCTTCCTGGGCCAGGGGAGGCTACGTCCTCACCAAGACTTTTCTTGGTTACTGGGGCCGCGGCAGCTTGGGTGTTGGTGTGTTTTCCAGCACTTGTTCCCCCAGAGTTTGTGTAGATTTAAGGGAGATGCTGTCCCCAGGGTAGAGTGGACTGAGGGACCTGTGTCCCTTCAGGAATCTGCATGGCTGGGAGAGGGGATGCACCTGCTGCGGGGTTCCTGCACCCAGGGGTTCTGCCACAGGGCACAGATTAGAGGGAGTCAGGCCTGGGCCCTGGGCCCTGAGCCCCCTCTGCCTCTTCTTAGGAGAAGGAGGGTGTGTGCCTGAGAGGACACCGCACACTGGTACATCCAGTGCTTCCTGGATGGGGTAAGTGCACCGGGGACCCCTTCCCAGGGAAGCTCCAGCCCCAGTGCCTGGCTCTCTTGTACTGGTGGCCTGTGACTCTGAGCTCCCCTAGCCCCAACAGACACAGGAGGGAGTCTGCTGTGCAGACCAGGAAGGCCCTGCTCTGCTGAGGGTGGTCCAAGCTGAGGCTGAGCCTCAGGGACAGCAAGGAGGGGACAGGTCCCACCAGGACCCATCCTGAGAGCCTGGCAAAGGCCAGAGCCCTACAGTGAGAGGCAGGAGATCCATAGACCCTGGGTGCCACAGGCTGGTTTCAGCACAGCCCAAGGGCTGACCCCTCCCAGGTCCCTGGGCTGTCTGGCATCTCCAGGGTGGCTTCCAAAGTGTGCAGAGCAGTCCGCGTGGCCCCAGGGTCCTGGATAGGCCTTGGTGCTCTTTCTCTCTGGGCTTCTAGGAACAGCTAGGATGCCCTATGACACTGCACTCCCCCCACTGTGGGCCCTGCTGAGGCCCTGATGCGCGGGGTCCTCCAATGCCTCTGTCCCCCAGGTGCCGTTCCCCCTGGCACTTCGGATGTTCGACATTTACATCCTTGAGGGCGCGCACGTACTCACCGGCATGGTGTACACCGTCCTCAAGGTCCACCGAAGTAAGTCCTCAGGGCCCACAGAGGCCTGGGTGCTGGGGATGGAGGAGTTGGGGGGTCCCATGCTTGGCCCGGGTGAGCAGAACCTAGGGGAGGGACAAATTTTCTGAGTTCTTGGCCAGCTTAGGGGCATTGCGAATCCCGTTTCATCCCCAACCCCCAAAAATGGCGCCTCCCAGCCTAACACCCACCCCCATGCCAGAGCCCATGTTGAAGATGCCCCGGGACCACATCCAGGAGTTCCTGCATGTGCTCCTTCCCCAGTGCCTGGCTCTCTTGACCTGGTGGCCTGTGACTCTGAGCAGGCTGAGCTTCCCCAGGCCCAGCAGACACAGGAAGGAGCCTGCTGTGCAGACCAGGCAGGCCCTGTCCTGCTGAGGGTGGTCCAAGCTGAGGCTGAGCCTCAGGGCCAGCAAGTGGGGGACAGGGCCAGGGTCAGGGGTTGCAGCAGAAACAAGGGTTGGAGCAGCCATGGTGGCTGCGCCATCCCTAGGGCTCCTCCTAGCCTGATGCCCACCCCCATGTCTAGAGCGCCTGCTGAAGATGTCCAGGGACCACATCCGGGAGTTCCTGCAGGTGACCCTGAAGCAGGCCTGGTCACTGAGCGAGGATGCGGTCATCAGGCAGCTGCGGGCCTCCATGCTGAGCTGGGGAAGCTCAGTGCCTCCTGCCTCCCGAAGGTGAGTCCAGCACACGGCCCCATCCCATGCTCCCTTGGGGGAGTCAGTATGGGAGTGCCAGGCCCTGGCAGCCCCACCCAGGGACTCACCTCTTCCTATCCTCCTTGTCCTCCCTGGGCTCAGCAGTTTCTGCTTTCAGGAGCTTCTGACAGCATGGCCTGGCGGGCCTCGGGCAGCTTCCCTGGATCCTCCTGCGGGGTGGTCCAGCCGGCACTGGATCCCTTCAGCCATCTGAGGACCCCTGGAAGGCCCAGTGCCCTGAACCCAGTAGTGGGGGCCGAGTCCTCCTGTGAGCAGGGTGCGCAGAGGCAGGCGCTGGGGGCCCCCACGGCAGAACCCAAGTTCAGCTGAGTGTGGGCTCTGCAGTCCTAGCCTTGGGCCAACAGAAGTCAGCAGGACCCGGAGCAGCGTGGCCTCTGGGCTCTGGTGGGCAGGTTCTTGTCCCCTGCTGACAAGGACCTGAGCACCTGGGTCCCCATGCAGAGCAGAGATGGCTTTGTCCCAGCTCTAGAGGCTGGCAGTGGGGGCCCAGGGGCAGCCTGTTCAGACACTGGGAAGTCCCCACTGTGCTTCCAGGTGCTGCCTCCCCTGGGTGCTCGTGAGACAGAAGCAATGACAGCCCAGTTTCACCGGGAAAGGGACTGTGGCCCAGGGGCAGAGGACACAGGGAACCCCTGCCACCTCTTTGGAAACCACATTCCCTGTCCCCGAGGGCCTGGCCAGACCCCATGTCTGCCCCACACCCCAGCTCTCACCCCCATCATCTTAGGCTCAGTTCCCTTCCTACAATTGAGGAGGGACTCAGATGCGGGTAACTCAGCCAATGCACTGTTAGGGCCCAGGATTTCAGGTGGGGTAGGTATGGGGTCCTGAGTTGGTGCCAGCAGTCTCCAGAGATGAGAGAGTGAGGTGGGGGTCAAGGCCTGTCCAGTCTGTGGGCTTTGGGGGAGAACCAGAGGTGTCCCTGTCATTCCCATGGCCCAGGCTGCATGCACCATTCCTTCTGCGGCCAGCAGGCTGGAGGTGTCCTGAGCATCACACCGAGTATGGGGACCCCAAGGGTCAGGTCAGGGCAGGCACCCTGTAGGCCAGATGTGGCCGTGGAGAAATAAACCCATCTGTTCTTTTTCCAGATAAGCCAACCGAAGATGGCAGCCAGCCCTGCAGGTGCCGCCTGGCTCTCAGGAGCGCGCTCCCCCACCAGTGTCCATCAAGACCATCGTTGAGCGCAAAGGCTGTCACCCTGCTGCTGCAGCTCCCCAGGAGCCAGCGGGCTTCAGCTTCTGTCCCCGGGGAGACCGGTCCTCTCGGATCTGCCGTCCAGCGACCAAGCAACACACCAAGGAGGAGAAGGGCAGTCGTGGCGAGAGCACACCCAGCCCCGGCCAGGGCTCCTCCACGGGGGCCTCAGGGTCAGGGGCGCCGCCCACCTCTCGGGCCCACAGTGCTCCTGGCTGGACGAGCCAGGCCCCCTCCGGCGCTGGACTTCCCTGACCAAACTCAACGTGACCTTCCAAGATGACTCCGACTCTGAGGACGAGGAGTACTACAGCGGCCTGGAGAAGCAGGAAGAGGACGAAGAGGAAGGAAGAGGAGGAAGACCAGGCTGCTGAGTGTCCTGCGTCTCCCTGGCCAAAGCTGCTTCGGGACCTGAGATTCGTCCTGCCCGAGACAATTTTTGAAGAGGACGAGGAGGGAGGCTGTGAAGAGGGTGCCTCCCCAGAGCCCTCGTCCCCAGCCCTGTCTGTGAAGTCCTCAGAGTCTCTGCGTGGCCCAGGCCTCTTGGCCCCACAGAGCTTGCAGAGCAGGGGAGACCTATCCCGATGGGGGGCCTCCCAAATCTCAGCCCGCCTGTCAAAGGCGCTGATTTCTGGCCCCTGGAGCTGGGTGGCCAGCAGGGTCTCAGGGCCCCTCCCCCACCTGCCTCAGAGCCCCTGGATCCCGGGCCCATGCAGGCTGTGCCAGCCCTGGGAGCAGGGCTGAAGACCCCTCCTGCATGGGAGCCCCATGCACTCTGGGGACAGGCTGGAGCCTGCAGGAGCCAGCTCTGCACTGGGAGACCAGGCCTGTGCCCTCCTGGCTCGAGGCCTCCTTGCTGCCCATTCCATGGAGGAGCTGGATGTGTGTGGGCACCTGGAGGGAAGAACAGCCCACCAGGTGTCCAGCTCAGACGGGCCAGAAGCTTAGGCTGTCTGAGCACAGCGGCCTCCCCGATGGACAAGGCTCCTCTCTGGAGCTCCTCTCCCCCATCCTGAGGCTCACCCATGCTCATCTCGGCCAAGGAGGCTAGCTTGTCTATGCCCGCCGGCCTCCCTGATGGTCAAGGCTCCTCTCTGGAGCTCCTCTCTCCCTCCCTGAGCTGCCTCACCCTAGCTCAACTCGGCCAGCATCTAGCTTCTCTATGCCGGCCCTCCCGATTGACAAGGCTCCTCTCTGGAGCTCCTCTCCCCCAGCTGCCTCACCCTAGCTCAACTCGGCCAGCATCTAGCTTCTCTATGCCCGGCTCCTCCCTGATTGACAAGGCTCCTCTCTGGAGCTCCTCTCCCCCTCCTGAGCTTCCTCCCTAGCTCAACTCGGCCAGCATCTAGCTTCTCTATGCCTGGCCTCCCGATTGACAAGGCTCCTCTCTGGAGCTCCTCTCCCCCTCCCTGAGCCTCACCCTAGCTCACTCGGCCAGTCTAGCTCTCTATGCCCGCCCTCCCATGACAAGGCTCCTCTGGAGCTCCTCTCGAGCGCCTCACCCCAAGCCAGCCACTGCCACAGTTGCTATGGGCACCCTCAGAGCAGGAGATGATGTAGGACATGAACCCAGGCACCTGTGGGCTGCCACATACCCCTCCCGCCTTCGTGAGGAACCCGGGAACTTCTGCCCCTTGTTGATTGTGCATTAAATTGTTTCAGAATGCATCTGATTTTGTGACCCCTGGAGCCGAGCTGCCACACAGGGTCCCTGAGTCCCTTGCAAGAGGCTGGAGGTGCCACAGCCTCCAGATGCAGTCAGACCCGCTCAGGGTGCTCCATCACTTCCTGAGATTGACCTGTGCCCAGCGTGGACCAGGGGAGGACCAGAGCAGCAATGGCTGGGTACATGTGGCTTTGGGACAGTTCAGGAGTGTGGGCCCAGCCAAGGGACCAGGCCCATGATCACCTCTGTGCACTGTCCTGGGTGTGGGGCACCAGGTTCCCACTCTTCTTCCTCTTTGCCTTCTATCCTCCCTGCCCCATCTCACAATCCAGCATCTCATGGCCTGAGCCTGCAAGAGGACCCCAGGGCACTTCTGACCACAGACCAGGATGCCAGTGGGTGGAGGCAGCCCCAGAATGTCCAGGTGGTCCTGGTGGCACACCTGGCTGGCAGATGCCCACATGCCCTCTAGCAGCTCAGGCCTCCTGGGCTGCTGTCACAGTGGGTTCAGCTTCTCCAGGTCATGCTGTCACTAGGGTCATTAGCATGGAGAATGTGTCCCCTGATGTTGGGAGAAGAGACTCCTGGCTCAGAGGCTCCTGGCCTGGAGGCTCCACAGGGAAGGAGTCTGGAACCCTACCTTGGGCAGAGAGAGCATCCCAGTTCTCCAAGGGTCCCTGACACTTGTAGCCTCTTCCTCAATCCACACACCTCCAAAAGGAGACTGGCCCTGTTCATCAGAAGCCACCTGGGTCATCCCAATGGGGCAGGTTAGGCCATAGCCATTTTCCCCTGGGTCTGGAAGGCCCAGGATTCTCTAGCTGTTGAGTCCACTCTGTACTCCGTTCTTGAATGAGCCATGGCTGTGTCAGTGCAGGACCCCAAGGGCTCAGAATCGCTGGTCCCCACAGGGTGCTTTTTGCAGAATCACACTGAGGCCAGAAGCTGACAGATAGAGGGTGACAAGTGGCTACTGTGCTGATGACTCATCTCTCCAGGCTGGGGAGCCACAGCCATGGGCCAGTCCTGAGCCTGCTCCTGTTCTCCAGTGCTCGGGCTGGTCTCTTGTTCCTGGGAACCATAAGGCCATATTTTGGACTTTTCACCTGCTTCTTCTGCTCCTTATCTGGGGGAAGATGTGAGCCTGATGATGAGCTTGCAGGCAAGGTTGCTACAGGGCAGGCAAGTGGATGGGAAGGCCCCTGTCCAGGTCAAGCCTGTCCTGTGCTCCCTGCTCTGCCCTGGCTTCCTGGGTGGACCGCAGTGTACTCAGAGATGTGCAGGCAGTCCACCTGTCCAGGCGCAAGCCCTAAACAGTGTTACTAATGGGAACACACCTAGAGACTTTCCTGGTGCCTATGGCCTCGAACCATCCTCCCTGGTCAGCCATGTGCAGGGTGACCTGCAGGCATCCGTCTCCATTGAAAGCCACCTGCCTTTGGTGACAGTCCTTTGCCCTCTCCTGGAATGGAGATTTCACAAACCTGGTGCTCTTTCTTAAGATTTTCTCCTTTGTATCACTTTGCTTTCTTGTCAAAGTCTGATAACTGTATTCGTGAAGGTCTCTTCCGGGGTTACCATTCTGACTCTCACCAGTCCCACATGCCATGATGGCTGTCTCATAAGTTAGTGAAGCTGTGACACGTCAGTCCTCCAGTGTGTTCATCTTCAATTATGGGAGGTGGGATCTTCGGGGTATCTTCATCCCCACATACATTTTAAAATCAGTTTGGTAATTGTAAAACACGTTGATAGGATTTTTTTTAAAGATTTATTTCAAAGAGTTACAGCAGAGAGAGAGAGAGAGAGAGAGTCTTCCATCTGCTGGTTCACTCCCCAATTGCCACAACAGCTGGAACTGTGCTGAAGCCAGGAGCCCCAACCTTCATCTGATTCTCCCATACAGATGGTAGGGGCCCAAGCACTTGGGCCACCATCTACTGCTTTCCCAGCCAGAGTAGAGAGCTAGATTGAAGAAGAGCAGCCAGGACTTGAAGCAGCGCCTATATGGAATGCCAGCACCCGCTACGCCACAGCACTGGCCCTGTTGATAGGATT